CTGGCATCTCCTTTCTTGACTTCAAAATCGGGTTTACAGTATCTTAAAGATTTTTGCATATATTTGCTGGACCATGGAATTGCCCATTTGCAATGTTATGTTGTCAAGAAATTTGCGATTATTGCCCCAAACCTTTGTTCCAGGCCACTTTATCTGTTCAGATAGGTTACAATACAGGTGTATTGATTCAGACAGCAATTCCTTCCAAGCAGATTAAGACAACACAAAACAAGCATGTTTAAGACAAAAAGGACATTCTTCCTCACAGAAACTAGTAGACCTTAGCTGGAAAACAATAAACTTGCCTTTTATTACTTTCCTCAAAAACAGGGAGAGGGAAAGAGGAGATGTATGACAGAGAGAGGATTAATCAAGATAATAATTGCTGATGTTTATATTCTGAAACAAAGGGAATAAAAAGAAAAGGAAAAGATATATTACATGACTAAGATAGCAAGTAACTTGCTGCATTGCAGAATTACTGGAGCTACATCCCAGCTGTAAGAGACATGGATACAAACACAGAGATGATTTCAGATAAGGTCACTAGTTTCACTGCTAGGGAAACAGGAGAAGCTAAGAAGGAAGGAAAACTAAAAACATTGTTTGTTTTGAAGACACTGTATTTTGACCAGTCTTAATGAAGGCTGTCAAAAAAGGAAAGTTGTATATCCTGATTATAATTGACTCCATGAATATCCCTGGCGGATGAGCAGATCCTGATCATGTTTGCTTTTATATGAGGCAAAAACTAATTTGCTGCTCCTATTGCCCTAGTTTGACGTTGCTTCTATAAAAACAAATATGACACAATGAAAAACTGCTAAAAGATTCACCGAGCTACGGAATGTCCTTCCTGCTCACCCTGGCTCACTTTTCACTTCGAAACGTAAAAGGAATGTCACGCATTTCTAAACTATGTCTGGGAGCAAAGCCTCAAGTATCATGAATAAAGATACTCAAGTTCTTCACTATACCAATAAAAATGCTACGTGACTTGTATTCAAGCGCAAGCTCAGATGTTTCTAAATACAGATGGTATCCATCACATGAAGAAAGAACATTAATTACTGTATTTCACATCTTTCTTGGGAACTGCACCCCTCCTCACTGAGCAGAACAAAGTCTCTGGCACAGTAGAAGCTGCCAAGACTTTCTGTTTCTCTGTCCTCAACGCAATGCGTATTCTCTGTGGAAAGAGGAAAACAGGAAAAGGAAAACTTCATAAAGCAACTATTCCTTCCGTATGGTACACCGACTGTTTTCTCAGCCCAGTTTTTACTACCTATGCTTACTGCAATCCTGTCTCTAAGCAATTACATATTGATGTACATATTGACTGCTCAGTTTTTCAATTCTGTACAATAAATGTTTATAAAAACCTGCTACTACAAGTTGGCCATTTGCAGCTTCTATTCAGAAGAGCAAGTTGTAACAGTGTGCTAAGCTGTTAAAAGATGACCAAAACTGACTGGGTCTGAGTGACCCATTGCTCTGGAGGGCTTATACTTCCCACTTCTAATCTACTCTGTAGAGAAACAAAGCAGAAGTCCACATGAGCATGCTTACTTCTGCTGGAAGGAAACCTCAGCAACTGAGATGGATGATGGGGAGATCAAGAGTCTGCAATCGCTGTGGTGTGTGCACATTATTCTATCTAGGTGATACCTCTATTCTATCACTTTAACAAAATTAAGCCTGGATGAATCAGAAATTCTTTATTTACATTAACAGTGTAAAGGACTACCATCATACCTTCTTTAGCAAACATACACAAGTTTCTTATAGGTGTCCATGTCATGCTAAGCTCTGAACTTGTTCCTCCATAAGAAGTTCAGTGTTTAAGACTGGTTTCCCCAATTCCAAGTATCTGTTTGCTGTGGTATCAAGTATGTGGTACAGCACATGTTGTCAAAGATTTCCAGGGTAACCATGGGAATGAAAACTTACCTCTTTTCAAGTTAATACATACCAGCTACAAGAGAACAATATTAGTATCTTAGCACAGTTCTAGAGACTCCAAGAGAGAAAGGATGCTTCGGGACAAGTGCCAGAAAATTTTCAGTTGCAACGATGGCTACACAGCCTCCATCACAAGACTGAATAACACCCAGGTATTAAAAGCTGAACATACGTTTTTTCTTTTCCTTTGCCCTTCTTCTTCTTAGTATTAAAAAATCAGCTTGTTGTCTGGGTTTTATCTGTTTACAACTAAGCATCTGTGTGTATGTATGACAATAGGAATTCTCAGAGCAAGCCAAAGCGAGAAAGATGGATTGGTCTGATGTCTGGTCATCCCTGGGTGTGTCCACATCAGTCCTGCAGTTCAGATCAGTGGTGTGCTTCTGAATCTTCCCTGTGCTTCAGTCTGGACTGTGGGACCCCCTTTGTGGGACAGAATGGATTCTTTCTGGATGGAACTAAATCTGAAGATGCACTCCAACTGTTACAAGGCATTCAGTGCACCCTGACCAACCAGCAGCCTGTCTCAAGTAAAACTTCACAATGCATATAGCAGGACCAAATCTCCCACACCAACTTTTACTCCACAGAGCTGCTCCTACCACATCACATCACTTGCTAGTACAGACATGTCTGTGTCAAAACCACATTCATGTTCCTTGGCAAGTTTGTCTTCTATACACACGATCCCACCTGCATCCTTTGACAGCTTCATTATTTCAGAAGGATGTATTACTGTGGGAGACAGAAAGACAAATTTTCCCTGCTACAGATCAACACAGACATTTTGAAACACACTCTGGAATCAATGGCACAAGAAGGAAATCACCAAACTATGATGTTAACAATACCCAGCAGTGCCAGGCACATGGATGATCAGATTTTGGTATGCACTGAAGACTCCACTGTCCACAAGATTCTCAGTGGGAATATATGTTAATAATGAATGCCTACCAGTCTACATCAGCAATGTTAGCACAAGTCTTCTCAACAGCTGTAAATGTATTCATTTTTTGACATACTGATTACTGGGGCCACAAGAGATACCTAGGAATCCTGAAGAAGATTGACATCACATTCTACTTAGAAGAGGCAAACCTTGATTTAGTTTAAGTTTTAAATGATAGTTGGTGATCCAGCTTCTAACCTTTATGACACCATGGAATCCTGAAGGTAATCAAAAGAAAATTAAGGAAAAAGATTAAAACTGAAAGAGGAGACTTAAAAACAGGAGAACTGAAAAGATGACTGAAGAGGCTTACTAGAATTGAGATAAAGCAGGGAGACCCTCACAAAATAATGGTAAGCTATTTTTTTCCTTAACCACCTGTTCCATCTTTCTGTCCTTAGTCTCTCTGGATTATTTATTGGTTTAAACAAAATGTGACTTATTTCTATTCATGGCTTCAAACTGTTTATAAGTATCAGCCTACATTCTTGAAATTTATCATTCATATATCCAGTCACACACATACATGTGCCTACTGTGCATATTCTTTAAAATTTCTCACAAAAGATTCCTCTAACCTTTACTAAAACAACTGGATTGGCTTAACTGCGCTACTTAGGACACTCAAATTCTGACTACTAATTTTTAAAATGTCTTATTTTTTTACCACCATAATCTCATCTTTTCATAGAAATCAATCTATATGATCCACCATTCCCAGCAGAGCATGAAGTAATATGCAGTGCAGTTTTTGAACTGAGTTGTTTTGAAAACCAGCAAGACTCCTATGGACAAACAGAGCAATAGACAAGTAATGATAATGCTATCATGTAAGTGATGATAATGATAAAGCAGCTGACTACTCAGTTTACCATTAATTACCATTAAAGGTTTACCATTAATCTGGATTTATTGTTCTTTTTGGGCACAAAGAAATAGGCTGTCATAATGACCTTAAGTGAAAGTACAAGAAGGGTGTAGGAAATTCCTCAAGATCAAAAGTAAAAATTATTTAAGACAATGACACGATAACAAAAAGTAGTATGACAACTGAAGCATCAACATGAACTGCTGAGATTTCACACAGCTACCAAGACTGTAGTGCAGCTAGCAACAAAGCGTATCAAATAGTGGAGAGATCAGAAAGCTATGCAAGAACAGGTAGCACGAGGAGACTGAGATATCTGAGAAGGTACAAGCTTATACTAGCACAAGCAGAAACCTCTTTGCAGGGCATGTCTGTATTAAACACAGGAACCAGACTGTGAAGTATGATATTACTAGAAAGGACTGCTGGATTTTACTAGAGCAGATTCAATTACAAAAAAGCTGACCGTAAAATGAGTAGATGTTCTGACTACACTGATACATGTCGTACCAACATGTTTCCTGGAAAGCTGGACAACATTCATGCATGATTTTATTTCTTTTTAGAAGCTGGGGACAAAATCTTCACAAAAAAAAGTATGTTCTGTGCCTCATCCAAACTAGAAAAGGGTCAAGCAGCAGCGGATCACAGAAGGGGTTATCTGGAGTCAGGCAGCCCAGTTGAGGCATGTCCACCCAGGTCGGATGACACATCTATCTAAAGGGGACATTAGTTCATGGCTCTTGTCCTGAATTTACTGACAGGTGGCTAGAAATAATGTAAGGCCTATATAACTTTTCCTGGTATAGTTCTGGGTGCCAGGACACAAGCAAAAAAAGATGCTTATGCAACTCTTAGAAGAGATTATGCAGCTGCTGTAAAATCTTGGAGGGAACTGACAGATACGGGTAGAACAGCTTTCTCTTGGAGATGAATAGCTGGCAAGGTTAGAGTCATTAGTAAAAGTGGATTTGATGGGGAAATTGTGATAGACGTGCAGCCCACAATTACTTCTGCCTGCAAAAATCAGCAGCAGCAGCTCACATGCAAGGACTGTATTGCTATTCAAATAACTAAGACTGGGATTTTTCACAGTAGTGAACTGACAAATGAGCTCACTGCACATCATGGAGACACGCTCCTGCTCTTCCTGCACAGAATTATCCTTTTTTTCTTTCCTGTTGCCAAATGAGGACCCTGCTGGACACATAACATCAAGGCAAAAACTGAGGAGAGCAGTTAAAACACGATCCACCTACAAGAGGGAAACATACTTTGTCAGGGAAGCTGTGTACCAGTTATTCTCAAGCCAGATGCTGCAGGGTTGCTATAAGAGGTGTGAGTTTTGGGTTTGATTTTTGTTTTGCTTTGGTGGTGGTGGTGGGGTTGTGTGCAAAATGTGCTAGTTTAGGCTACAGGTTAAAAAAAAAGGCATTGTGGTGAGTAGTCTGCAGATCATTCACTGTTACACAGACCACAAGTAAGATGTCAAAAAAGGCTCCAAACAGCTCTATACGCAGAGATACAGAGCTGCGAATGAAGAAGAGCTGATAGCAACTTTTAGAACTTAGAAGTAAAAGAGTTTTTACAAACGTGTGTTCCATTTATGATACTCTGTGGGACAGCGCATACTTGGGAGATCATCCCCAAACACTCAACACTGCTTGTTGAACAGAAAAAAACCCACAGACATACATGGATACATTAAAAAAAATGTACGGAATGTAAAACAAAACAACAAAAAAGACCCCTTTGCCCCTACAACCCGATCACCAAAATTGTATTTTGAGAGGTGGCACAGCTCGAAATGACTCCTCCCTCCCTCTAGTTTCTGGCTAACACTAGCAGAAAACACCATAGGGCATTTGCTGTTCAGAAAGAAAAATGCACGGCCAATTACTCGAGAAGTGACTGCTAAAACCAAGGGAGGATGAAACTCAAGCACCCAGCTTTTACAATGATCTCGTAATAGGAGCCATCAAATACCTGGCTACATTTCAGCTCCAACAATTGCAGCTGCAGTCCCACCTCAGCAGAAGTGAGAAATACCGCGCAAGTAGGTGCCAGCTGAGTTTCAATCTCAAATAGTTCAGTATCTCCTCCCCTGAAGGACATTTTGACCTGCAGGGGCGGTAAAAGCCTTCCTGCATGAACTCCTTAAGGCTCCTTTACAACAACCCATTTAGTGGGGAAACAGAGAAGTATCTGTATTTTAGCAAAACAACCTGTTTTCCAAGTTCTAAAAATAGAAAAGGAAAAAAAAAAACCCAACCCCTTAAAAGTGCCTGTCATCTTGAAACCACTCGCAAGCTTCTCATCCTGAGCAACACAGCCTCCCCCTGCTAAAAATAAAACAGTACATTACAGCAACATTTTTTGCTGGCTTCAGCCAAGGACGTGAAAACCTCCCCTCAGCCCAGACAGGCCGTAAGCTGTGAGTCAGCACTTCTCAGCATTTCTGGAAATTCCTCAGCAAAGCATCCACCCTGTAGCAGGAAGCTGCCTGTCCACTTCAGCCGGTACCCGGAAACAGGAGGGCGGTCACGGGCTTCACCTGAGCTGGGGACACTGCTCAAGAGAACAGCACCCAAACTGCCCAGTGCTCCCTGTTACCACCAGCTTCCATAGAACACTGCCCAGGGAACAGGCTCAGCTAACCCCAACTGCGTGCAGTGACAATAGGAACATGTAAGATTAATTTAATTGCATTAAAAAAACTCAAACCAAGCAACACACTGGGCTAGGGCACTGGTGAGTCTCTATGGCACAGTTTAAATCATACAGGCTGTCCCAGCCCAAATCAAGAGATAGCTCTGCTCCATCAGCCCCTGGCAGTACCTGTGCCCTGCCTGAAGATACCTGAACTCTTAAAACACAGAGCCTTGCCCACCAGGTAAGGAGAGAATACAAAGAAAGTGAGTGCTTTCCCTTCTTAAGCTGATGAAGAAGCTACAGGTTTAAGGCATCACCATGCCCGTGAGCGGAAGGGGGATGTGATGCCAGGTTCTCTCTCCCTCCAGCAGTCCATGCTTTACACAGATTATTTTACAGCCTGCAAACCACAGAGCCTAGTGGTCAGAAAAGGACACAAAGATGTCTTGAAGATGCCCCAAATCTGCCTGCATCTGTACAGGTTATGGTGTTGTCAGGTATCTCATCCCCACTGAGGCACAAACCTTCATGGAAGTTCTCAATGCGTGAGACTCCCAAATGCGTACAAGCACCAAGGTGGACAAACTGCTTTGGAAACTGAGATACATCATGCACTCGGGTCTGTCTCGAGGTATAAAGCTGTTATTTCACAAACCGTGCCTGTGGTGAATGCAGTTGCTACATCACCCACCTCAGACTGATCATCTCCTCTTGTTTTGCTTTAAACCCCCACTTTGACAGGGCATTAAGGAGAGAGAGAAAGGGAATAGGAAGTGCTTTGCGAGCAAGAGTAATTGCATGTTCTGACCTCTTTGACTTACATCACATGCATTATCCAACCACCACAAATCAAGAAGGAAACTGAATATAAAGACATTAATTTTCAGTACAAAACATATGTTAAAACTAACAGAAGAACAGGACCAATGTTAACTGTTTCCCTGCTTGTTTCTTCTCTCATATATGTGGCTATTCCGCCGCAAAAAATATTCTTTCCTTTTTTCTCACTTTTTAATTAACATTCATATAAAGGAAGCTGCCTAAAGTCGGGTACAAAGAAAAAAAACTATGTTTTTCTCAACTGTTTTTAAATACGGAGCACTGAGATTAAAGCGAGGCAGATAGCCAAATACCTCAGCCATCACAGTCATTAATAAACGCATTTAACATTCGTGCAGCTTTCGAATGCAGAACATCTGGTTCCAATTCCCAATCTGGCTTTTAATAAAAGTGCCTCCCCCACAATACTTTTATTATAAAGTGTTCTTTTCCGCCCCGCGCCCCCCCCCCCCCCCCCTTTTTTTTTTCTCATTTTAGGGTTTTTTTCCATTTGGAAGCGGCTGTTCCTTCCTTCTTGCTGGAAGCCACCTGACCACTGCCAGGAAGAGGAATGCAAAACATTCCCAGGAGCAGCTCCTGACGTCAGGGAGGCAGCATTCCTCCTCCTCCTCCTCCTCCTCCTCCCCGCCACGGCCCACCACCACCGCCCCGGCGCACAGAGTCCAGGCCCTGGCCCAGCGGCGCGGTGCCGCCGGCAGCTGCCGCCTGCCCTGAGTCACGCCGTGAGCTCCTCGCCATTTAAAGCTAGAGACGGCGACGGCAGCCATCAAGGTCTTGGTCCTGCAGAAATGGTGTTTATCTAAGAGATTGTCTATCGCTCCTGCTGTTTACTTGCTTTCCCCAGGCGTACAGAGCTTAAATAAACTTAGGAACGGGCGATGGTGCCCAAGCCAGGCATTGTTATGTTAACTCAAGCCACTCTATGCTCCCCTTCTTCTTGCCCTTAAATAGGAGTTTCTGCTTTGGATAAACTTCAGGTCCATGGGAGGTTTAAATCAGCTTAGACACTGACTTTCATGATTCGTTCATTTTACTTCTCATTTATTCACTTACAGGCTCACGGCCAAAGGGTGCCAAGGAAAACAGTGACGTGCTGTTGTGGGGCTGTTTGCTTTTTCACTTTTAAGACATTCCCAAGAGATCATGACGTGATAAGGATACCTAGGCAGGCAGCCTTTGTCAAACACAGCGCTGCAACGGCAATCTCAGGGCTTTTCATACAGTATCTACCGTCTAATGTATAACAAGATGAGACAGGGTGGGATTTCAACTCTGAACATGTCTCTAATTTCATTTATCATAACACATTAACAATACATGGCATCATTTCATTCTAAACTAACTGATAGTTAAAATTATGAGAGTTTCCTGGTTGAGTTTCAGTCAGTGAGCTTACTCCTTTCAATATATCTAGTCTGGTTTGATATTTTGGGGACATAAAGTTTTAAAATTCTATAAAATATAATGCCCAGAAAAAACCCCAAAACAACTCTGCATATTTTAAGAAACAACTGTATCAAAGACAGTGAAGAGTAAAAAGAAGCAATAGTTATTGCCAGAACTGTCATGAAGCTAAAGAAGAATTCCCCATTTCCACCTCACGAAGGGAGCAGGAAGGTAGGTTAGCAAATATGAAAACAAATCTAATATGGAAAACCCTCAATTCCTAGATGATGTGACGACAGAGCTCTTCAAGAAACACTTTTCCATTTCATGTGTCTCTAATCATATAAGAAAAAGTTTGAAATATATAATTTCATCACTCCAAAACCAACAAAACCCTAACATACGAATGTTAGTTTAATCATTGTTTCCCAGGGAATACAAAGGAAGCCAAAACTCATCCTGAGTAGCTAGAGAATGTGACTGGTGGTAGTGAAGTGTTCACATGTATCACTTTTCCCCCAAATATTGACATAATTAATGTAAATTTCTTAATGTTGACTGACCACACTTTAAAAACCAAAGCGAGACAGTACATCATTTTCAGTATTAATCGTAATTAATCAGCTATGTGCTGTTAGGTTTACACTGTTTGTTCAGCTGCAGTCCTACACATCAAGATCCAGATGGCTCCAAAACCTGCAGGACGTTTGTTGGACCCAGTTTGCTAGCTTCTCACTCCATTCGTGGCAATTTAAGAAATAAAAAATGCTGGGTTTTTCTCCTAATACAAGGACTTGTTACTAAAAGGTCAAACAAATGTCTGCTCTCTGACCAACCTCATGCCACCCACAACTTCTTTAAGGAAACCAGCTTTCTGAAGAACCGCATGGCAAGCAAACACATTGCTTTCCTGGTGAGAAGCCTGCAAACACTGGTTACACCAGCTGCCCACATCTGACCAGCCAGAAAACCCCAAACCACCTTTTTTGCCCTCTTCTCCAGAGGTCACTAATATTCAAATGATGTATCATATAAAGAAATTGGCATTGCTGGACAACGTGACAAAAAGAAGACTCAATTTTATTTTGCAGAAGTCGATGGGAAACCAGAAAAACACTTGTAGCTTCCTGCAGACACTGCAGCCACTGGCTACTGGAAAAAAAACACCAACCATCTGATCTTTGCTTTTACATATACTTATATAAATTTAACTGAAGTTTGCTGATGTCAACAGACAGCCATCAGTGTACATGACTATTAAAAATAGTACTTTAGGTTTTGCAAGAAAATGAGAGAAAAGGAAAGTGCATGAAGTTTCTATCACTGAAAAACAGAAGAAATACAAGAAAAATATTCTATTACCTAAATAGAATAAAAGTAGTAGCTCAGTAGAACTGGTTGATTTTCTAAACTAAAGACAAAGAAAGTGAAATATGTCCTCAGTACTTTCTAAAATTATGTACAAGCTAAGGTAGCCTGCAGCCATTGAAGAACAGAAGCATAGAATAGTTAGGGTTGGAAAGGACCTTAAGATCATCTAGTTCCAACCCCCCTGCCGTGGGAGGGACACCTCACACTAAACCGTACCACCCAAGTCTCTGTCCAACCTGGCCTTGAACACTGCCAGGGATAGAGCATTTACCACTTCTTTGGGCTCCCTGTTCCAGTGCCTCACCACCCTCACAGTAAAGAACTTCTTCCTTATATCTAATCTAAACTTCCCCTGTTTTAAGTTTGAGCCTGTTATCCCTTGCCCTGTCACTATGCTACTGTGCACTTTTTTGTTCTTGACATTTTTCCTCCATTTTCTATCTTTTATACTACCTTCAGAGATAGATATACACAGGGTTTTTTCAACTGTATATTAGGGATTTTAAAAAATCTCCCTTTTTTCTTCAGAAATTATTTCTCTTTTAAAATAAACTTAAAACTTACCAAGATGTAAATATATGCAAATCAAAACAGGTCATTTCCAAAAAGCTGACTTTAGAAGTTCTGAATGATGAACATTTAAAAACGTTTGACTATTTAATCCCTAGTATTGAAGTCTGGATGGGGATTAGAATAGGCACAGCATACAGAAGTGATGAGAAGCGGGGTGTGTTCTCAGCTTTTCCAAAGCTTAAATTCATGCTTCTCTCCTGCATTTTAGCTGCTTATTCATTCTACTATTTTTCATCACCAGTAATAACGTTTGGATGCCAAAAGCATGAATGAAGTCACAGTGAGTACTTCCTTCTATGCCTTGTACACAGAATTAAGCTTCAGGTGTGTTTCAGGAGACCGCCTCGAGAACCTGTGAGTCATGAGCTTTGTACCAAGCACGCACTGCCATTCAGTCATGGACAACTTTCTCCTGGCAAAGCCTGGCAAGTGATTAGATCTCCATCAATTGATTGCCACAGATGAAGTGGACACTAGATTGGAAATTCAGCCTCAGAAGACTACAAATACTTTAATGAAATTATTCTTTTTCACTAAAAGAGTAACACAGAGTGATATATATTTCCTACCAATTGGCAGAGCCACAGCAGTTTACTTGACTTCTAGAGGGAAAAGCATCTTTCTTTTCTTGAACTTACAGAAAAGGGACTCAAACATGAGTAACAGTTTAGAAAACAATGGGTGTAAAGAAAAAGAGATAAGAAAATTGAGTAATACCCAGAAATCAGTAAGAAAAATATGTTGACTTTTCCATACCTTTCTTGCTTACACTGCCATTTGGGTGGGTAACTCTTCTCCTCCAAGACTAAAAATTCAGTTGATAATAGTGTGCCCTGTAATACCTGAAATACTTTTAACTGCAAAGGATCAGAAGCAGGGGGAAAAACCCAGAGCAGCAAAGAACTTAATCTCATATGTTCACTATTACATCTGGTAAGCAAAACAGCCCAGACACCAGCTGCTAATGTTGCACAGACCTCTGCTTACACGAGGCTAAAAGCAAAGCCCCCTGAGAACCAAACACCCCCTGAGGTTTTGGAAGGCTGTACTGGGAGAAAGTGGCAATTTCTTCACAGCTTCTCACCTTCACACATAACCTACACAAACTCTGTTTTGAAGCACGCCCGTACTTTTTCTGAAGCATGCTCCCTCCTCTTTCTTTTCATGCATCTCTGTTTTCTGTTGCTGGCTGGACCCAGCAGTGGAAGTGCTGAACAACAGGAGTAGGTCCAGCCCTGTTGCTGACTCAGATCTGAGAGCCTGGGCTCATCAGATTTCACCGCTGCATTCCAGATTTTGGTACCCAAAAAAATTCAGATAGTTATCTAAACCGAACTTCCTGAGGGTGAACTATCCCTAGCACTAGACACTTTGAGGGCCGATATACCAGGCTTGAGCAAGAGCCCATCAGCATACCGAAGACTGCATGCTAACTGTGCTTAAAGCAATAGCTACCAAGAGAAGTTCAACTCCATCACGGGGTAAATTATCGAGTTAATTGCCTTGGTATTCATATTTACATGCAAAAAACCCAGCAGATCTGAGGACAAATATTACACTGTTCCTTTAAAACCTTTGTTTTAAGGAAATGGACTTCAGAAAACTTCTTTTGTAATGTAAAATGGAACCATCTGTACATAAATTTTGGGAGTTATTTTGATGTTAGGTTTATTGATATAATTATGTTGTTACTAAGCTGTTTACTGTTCCAGGCTCCTAATAGCTACGAGGGCTTGTTAACAGTACTCTGAAATCACAGGGAAGCCTTTTCTTTCCCTTTGGTTTGGAAAGAGAAAACAAAAATTCTAAATGTGTTTATTTCCACATTTTATATTTGCACATAGCATCTACTTCCTTTAATGTGAAAATTTTATGATTACAAAGCTTTCGCCTCAATTTGTTTAGCTTTACTGCTTGGGCTGCCATATTATTATTATCACAACAGTTTGAGACTGCATTACTTAGCTGGCTTTACAGAGAAGTCCCAAGGTGAAGTATTTCTTCATACTCACTTTAGTCTTAAAGCAATAAGAAGACTGACACTGCAATTACTGTGAAAAGAAATAATTACAAAAATTATGGTGGTAATAACCACCATACCTTAAATTGTTTCCTCTTTGGAGCTGGAGATTATTGGTTTTCCAGTTCCAATTCTGAAAAGGAAAAGTCTCCCACACAGCTCAGCAAAACAGATTTTTCAAAAGAAAGCTTTCTCTGGCTTGTTGTTTGATTTGGAGAGACAGGATACAGCAGGTTCTGTAAGACAAACTGCTCAAACCTCCAGCTGGCATCTGAAAGCCCATCTTTAACTTTTCTGTAATACATCCAGGGTTCCAGTGGATAACTGCTGGACCATTTGCACAACAGAGTGAAAAGCCATCTTGTTAAACAATCTTTGTCTAACAGAGACCAAAGCAGTAACAGAAGCTTTTGGTATATATTTGATGCAGTGAGTAGGATTCCTGAGAAATACACTGGTCAAGAAGAGGACACACACACAACTTTACAGACTGATTATTTAAACTCCTAGAAATTGTACTGCATTAGGCATCTAAACTCTGTTTTCCCTCCATATGAAAAACTACAACTAACTAGATAAGAAGTCCAACAAAAATTGTCATCTGTGTTGCAAATGAAGTCAGGTAGGAAGGTAG